ATCCAGGTGACTTTTGAGTCGACTCAAAAGTCACTGCACTGCTGTCATCCAGGTGACTTTTGAGTCGACTCAAAAGTCACTGCACTGCTGTCATCCAGGTGACTTTTGAGTCGACTCAAAAGTCACTGCACTGCTGTCATCCAGGTGACTTTTGAGTCGACTCAAAAGTCACTGCACTGCTGTCATCCAGGTGACTTTTGAGTCGACTCAAAAGTCACTGCACTGCTGTCATCCAGGTGACATTTGAGTCGACTCAAAAGTCACTGCACTGCTGTCATCCAGGTGACTTTTGAGTCGACTCAAAAGTCACTGCACTGCTGTCATCCAGGTGACTTTTGAGTCGACTCAAAAGTCACTGCACTGCTGTCATCCAGGTGACTTTTGAGTCGACTCAAAAGTCACTGCACTGCTGTCATCCAGGTGACTTTTGAGTCGACTCAAAAGTCACTGCACTGCTGTCATCCAGGTGACTTTTGAGTCGACTCAAAAGTCACTGCACTGCTGTCATCCAGGTGACTTTTGAGTCGACTCAAAAGTCACTGCACTGCTGTCATCCAGGTGACATTTGAGTCGACTCAAAAGTCACTGCACTGCTGTCATCCAGGTGACTTTTGAGTCGACTCAAAAGTCACTGCACTGCTGTCATCCAGGTGACTTTTGAGTCGACTCAAAATTCACTGCACTGCTGTCATCCAGGTGACTTTTGAGTCGACTCAAAAGTCACTGCACTGCTGTCATCCAGGTGACTTTTGAGTCGACTCAAAAGTCACTGCACTGCTGTCATCCAGGTGACTTTTGAGTCGACTCAAAAGTCACTGCACTGCTGTCATCCAGGTGACTTTTGAGTCGACTCAAAAGTCACTGCACTGCTGTCATCCAGGTGACTTTTGAGTCGACTCAAAAGTCACTGCACTGCTGTCATCCAGGTGACTTTTGAGTCGACTCAAAAGTCACTGCACTGCTGTCATCCAGGTGACTTTTGAGTCGACTCAAAAGTCACTGCACTGCTGTCATCCAGGTGACTTTTGAGTCGACTCAAAAGTCACTGCACTGCTGTCATCCAGGTGACTTTTGAGTCGACTCAAATGTCACTGCACTGCTGTCATCCAGGTGACTTTTGAGTCGACTCAAAAGTCACTGCACTGCTGTCATCCAGGTGACTTTTGAGTCGACTCAAAAGTCACTGCACTGCTGTCATCCAGGTGACTTTTGAGTCGACTCAAAAGTCACTGCACTGCTGTCATCCAGGTGACTTTTGAGTCGACTCAAAAGTCACTGCACTGCTGTCATCCAGGTGACTTTTGAGTCGACTCAAAAGTCACTGCACTGCTGTCATCCAGGTGACTTTTGAGTCGACTCAAAAGTCACTGCACTGCTGTCATCCAGGTGACTTTTGAGTCGACTCAAAAGTCACTGCACTGCTGTCATCCAGGTGACTTTTGAGTCGACTCAAAAGTCACTGCACTGCTGTCATCCAGGTGACATTTGAGTCGACTCAAAAGTCACTGCACTGCTGTCATCCAGGTGACATTTGAGTCGACTCAAAAGTCACTGCACTGCTGTCATCCAGGTGACTTTTGAGTCGACTCAAAAGTCACTGCACTGCTGTCATCCAGGTGACTTTTGAGTCGACTCAAAAGTCACTGCACTGCTGTCATCCAGGTGACTTTTGAGTCGACTCAAAAGTCACTGCACTGCTGTCATCCAGGTGACTTTTGAGTCGACTCAAAAGTCACTGCACTGCTGTCATCCAGGTGACTTTTGAGTCGACTCAAAAGTCACTGCACTGCTGTCATCCAGGTGACTTTTGAGTCGACTCAAAAGTCACTGCACTGCTGTCATCCAGGTGACTTTTGAGTCGACTCAAAAGTCACTGCACTGCTGTCATCCAGGTGACATTTGAGTCGACTCAAAAGTCACTGCACTGCTGTCATCCAGGTGACATTTGAGTCGACTCAAAAGTCACTGCACTGCTGTCATCCAGGTGACATTTGAGTCGACTCAAAAGTCACTGCACTGCTGTCATCCAGGTGACTTTTGAGTCGACTCAAAAGTCACTGCACTGCTGTCATCCAGGTGACTTTTGAGTCGACTCAAAAGTCACTGCACTGCTGTCATCCAGGTGACTTTTGAGTCGACTCAAAAGTCACTGCACTGCTGTCATCCAGGTGACTTTTGAGTCGACTCAAAAGTCACTGCACTGCTGTCATCCAGGTGACATTTGAGTCGACTCAAAAGTCACTGCACTGCTGTCATCCAGGTGACTTTTGAGTCGACTCAAAAGTCACTGCACTGCTGTCATCCAGGTGACATTTGAGTCGACTCAAAAGTCACTGCACTGCTGTCATCCAGGTGACTTTTGAGTCGACTCAAAAGTCACTGCACTGCTGTCATCCAGGTGACTTTTGAGTCGACTCAAAATTCACTGCACTGCTGTCATCCAGGTGACTTTTGAGTCGACTCAAAAGTCACTGCACTGCTGTCATCCAGGTGACTTTTGAGTCGACTCAAAAGTCACTGCACTGCTGTCATCCAGGTGACTTTTGAGTCGACTCAAAAGTCACTGCACTGCTGTCATCCAGGTGACTTTTGAGTCGACTCAAAAGTCACTGCACTGCTGTCATCCAGGTGACTTTTGAGTCGACTCAAAAGTCACTGCACTGCTGTCATCCAGGTGACTTTTGAGTCGACTCAAAAGTCACTGCACTGCTGTCATCCAGGTGACTTTTGAGTCGACTCAAAAGTCACTGCACTGCTGTCATCCAGGTGACTTTTGAGTCGACTCAAAAGTCACTGCACTGCTGTCATCCAGGTGACTTTTGAGTCGACTCAAATGTCACTGCACTGCTGTCATCCAGGTGACTTTTGAGTCGACTCAAAAGTCACTGCACTGCTGTCATCCAGGTGACTTTTGAGTCGACTCAAAAGTCACTGCACTGCTGTCATCCAGGTGACTTTTGAGTCGACTCAAAAGTCACTGCACTGCTGTCATCCAGGTGACTTTTGAGTCGACTCAAATGTCACTGCACTGCTGTCATCCAGGTGACTTTTGAGTCGACTCAAAAGTCACTGCACTGCTGTCATCCAGGTGACTTTTGAGTCGACTCAAAAGTCACTGCACTGCTGTCATCCAGGTGACTTTTGAGTCGACTCAAAAGTCACTGCACTGCTGTCATCCAGGTGACTTTTGAGTCGACTCAAAAGTCACTGCACTGCTGTCATCCAGGTGACTTTTGAGTCGACTCAAAAGTCACTGCACTGCTGTCATCCAGGTGACATTTGAGTCGACTCAAAAGTCACTGCACTGCTGTCATCCAGGTGACTTTTGAGTCGACTCAAAAGTCACTGCACTGCTGTCATCCAGGTGACATTTGAGTCGACTCAAAAGTCACTGCACTGCTGTCATCCAGGTGACATTTGAGTCGACTCAAAAGTCACTGCACTGCTGTCATCCAGGTGACATTTGAGTCGACTCAAAAGTCACTGCACTGCTGTCATCCAGGTGACTTTTGAGTCGACTCAAAAGTCACTGCACTGCTGTCATCCAGGTGACTTTTGAGTCGACTCAAAAGTCACTGCACTGCTGTCATCCAGGTGACTTTTGAGTCGACTCAAAAGTCACTGCACTGCTGTCATCCAGGTGACTTTTGAGTCGACTCAAAAGTCACTGCACTGCTGTCATCCAGGTGACATTTGAGTCGACTCAAAAGTCACTGCACTGCTGTCATCCAGGTGACTTTTGAGTCGACTCAAAAGTCACTGCACTGCTGTCATCCAGGTGACATTTGAGTCGACTCAAAAGTCACTGCACTGCTGTCATCCAGGTGACTTTTGAGTCGACTCAAAAGTCACTGCACTGCTGTCATCCAGGTGACTTTTGAGTCGACTCAAAATTCACTGCACTGCTGTCATCCAGGTGACTTTTGAGTCGACTCAAAAGTCACTGCACTGCTGTCATCCAGGTGACTTTTGAGTCGACTCAAATGTCACTGCACTGCTGTCATCCAGGTGACTTTTGAGTCGACTCAAAAGTCACTGCACTGCTGTCATCCAGGTGACTTTTGAGTCGACTCAAAAGTCACTGCACTGCTGTCATCCAGGTGACTTTTGAGTCGACTCAAAAGTCACTGCACTGCTGTCATCCAGGTGACTTTTGAGTCGACTCAAAAGTCACTGCACTGCTGTCATCCAGGTGACTTTTGAGTCGACTCAAAAGTCACTGCACTGCTGTCATCCAGGTGACTTTTGAGTCGACTCAAAAGTCACTGCACTGCTGTCATCCAGGTGACTTTTGAGTCGACTCAAATGTCACTGCACTGCTGTCATCCAGGTGACTTTTGAGTCGACTCAAAAGTCACTGCACTGCTGTCATCCAGGTGACTTTTGAGTCGACTCAAAAGTCACTGCACTGCTGTCATCCAGGTGACTTTTGAGTCGACTCAAAAGTCACTGCACTGCTGTCATCCAGGTGACTTTTGAGTCGACTCAAATGTCACTGCACTGCTGTCATCCAGGTGACTTTTGAGTCGACTCAAAAGTCACTGCACTGCTGTCATCCAGGTGACTTTTGAGTCGACTCAAAAGTCACTGCACTGCTGTCATCCAGGTGACTTTTGAGTCGACTCAAAAGTCACTGCACTGCTGTCATCCAGGTGACTTTTGAGTCGACTCAAAAGTCACTGCACTGCTGTCATCCAGGTGACTTTTGAGTCGACTCAAAAGTCACTGCACTGCTGTCATCCAGGTGACATTTGAGTCGACTCAAAAGTCACTGCACTGCTGTCATCCAGGTGACTTTTGAGTCGACTCAAAAGTCACTGCACTGCTGTCATCCAGGTGACTTTTGAGTCGACTCAAAAGTCACTGCACTGCTGTCATCCAGGTGACTTTTGAGTCGACTCAAAAGTCACTGCACTGCTGTCATCCTCCTGCCATCGTTATTAATGCTCGTCGTACTCGTTATTAATGCCCGTCGTACTCGTCGGTACAAGCAGACTCACTTTAACGATCTGAACGCCGTAGGAGCGGTAGACGTGGACGAGAGGGCAGATGATGTCAGTGCCCACGTCTGGGATCTCCCTGGGGCATGCCTGTGAGTAGGCTCGGAACGGCTGTGACATCTGTGAGGGGGGAAGAGGGAAAAGAGAAGTAACAGGGGGAGGGGGAGGGGTTGTGGGTGGATGAGAGGGCAGACAGATAATGTTTGCTTTTAAGGCGCCTCAAAAGGCAGATAGATAATGTCTGCTTTTGAGGCGCCTCAAAAGGCAGATAGATAATGTCTGCTTTTGAGGCGCCTCAAAAGGCAGATAGATAATGTCTGCTTTTGAGGCGCCTCAAAAGGCAGATAGATTATGTCTGCTTTTGAGGCGCCTCAAAAGGCAGATAGATAATGTCTGCTTTTGAGGCGCCTCAAAAGGCAGATAGATAATGTCTGCTTTTGAGGCGCCTCAAAAGGCAGATAGATAATGTCTGCTTTTGAGGCGCCTCAAAAGGCAGATAGATAATGTCTGTGGCCACATCAGGGATCTCCCCGGGGCATGTCAGTGAGTAGGCTTGGAACGGCTGCGACATCTGAACGAGCAGGGAAGGGGGAGAAAGGGAATGCATGCTTGGGTATTGCGTCAGGGATCTCCCCGTCCCCGGGACATGTGGGAGAGCGAGTAGGCTCGGAACAGCTGTGACATCTGAATGTGGCGGAGGGTGTGAGGTGAGAGGAGAGAGGAGAGGGTGAGAGGGTACGCATGTAGGGTGAGAGGAGAGGGTGAGAGGGTACACATGTAGGGTGAGAGGAGAGGGTGAGAGGAGAGGGTGAGAGGGCAGATGACGTCTGTGCCCACGGCAGGGATCTCCCCGGGGCATGCGGGTGAGTAGGGCTGCGGCATCTGAGGGACAAATGAGGGACAAATGAGGGACACGTGAGGGACATGTCATGGACATACCACACCACACCACAGCACACCACACAGCACCGCGCACCACCCTTGTCAACCCACATGCACGCGCTGCACAATCACGTTGCTAGTGTTCCACACGAGCAGCAGCGGCTCATCCACCCGATGCACGTACAGCGGCTCACGTTGCTAGTTTTACCTAGAAGTCACTGCTCAGCACCACAAAACACCGCACTGCACTGCAGCAAACCACACCTCACTTGCACACGGTGCAATATAGCATTGCTGGTGTTCCATACATGGAGTATCGGCTCATCCACCCGATGCACGTACAGCCGATACCCCCTCCCTTTGTGTCGCCTAGATGCCACTGTACAAAGAACCTCACTCTGCAGTACCACACAGCAGCACACAGCACCGCACACCACCGCACACCACACCACCACAACACACAGCATCGCTCTAAACCCACCTGGACACGGTACACTATCACGTTGCTGGTGTTCCATATACGGAGTATCGGCTCGTCCACCCGATGCACGTACAGCTGATACCCCCTCCCTTTGTGTTGCCTGGATGCTACTGTACAAAGAACCAAACTCTGCAGTACCGCACAGCAGCACACAGCACCGCACACCACCGCACACCACACCACCACAACACACAGCATCGCTCTAAACCCACCTGGACACGGTACACTATCACGTTGCTGGTGTTCCATATACGGAGTATCGGCTCATCCACCCGATGCACGTACAGCCGATACCCCCTCCCTTTGGCCCCGCCTCCCGATCGCAGCACCGTGCACGCATACTTGGGCCCAAACAGCAGCCCTCTCTTCAGAGTGACGTGGTTCTGAAGCTCTAGCATTACTGTCGTGGAGGGAGGGTAGAGCCTGCGCTTGATGAAATCTGCTTCGCTGGTCACTTGGATTACCACGGCCGAGGCCAGGGGGGAGCACGCCGACCCTGATGGGAAGAGCCGAAGAGGGGAGGGTGGAGGGTGGAGGGTGGAGGGTGGAGAGGGGAGGGGGGAGGGTGGAGCCGTAGACTCAGGAAGACAGTTCTACGCAGCACAGTGCATGCATACCTGGGGCCGAACAGCAACACGGGTTCAGCCCGCTTTTAACAGCCTGGGTAGCAGCCGTCTGGTGGGAGTGAGGCGCAGAGTGACGTGCTTCTGAAGCTCCAGAAGGACCGTCGTGCCACGACACGTCAGCCTTGCATAGCCACAGAGACCGGATCTCACCTTGCTTTATGCTGGCATTAGCAGCAAACACCGAAGCAAAGCCAGCAGAGTCAGGCTCGGCAGCAGAGTTAGGCTCGGAAGCAAGTAGCTCTGCAGGAACGCCACGAGCATCCTGTGCCAGGGACTCCTCCAACCAGGCCATCGCTGCAGGCTCGGACCGAACCTGCTGCTTCAGCCACGGATTCATCCACTCCTGGGGCTCAGCCCATCGCAAAAGCTGTGCATTTTCCTGTTCCAGTGCCTGTGCGCGGTGTGACAGTATTGAAGGTGACTCTGACTGTGACTGTATGCTCACAGATTGTGGACTGTTTGTCTCGGATCTGTAGTAATCCTCGTTAGTGTGTGAACTCGCTGATCCAGTAGAAGCGGTCTTATTTCTATGCCAGACACTAGTTCTCTGATGCAGGTGGTAAAACGACGAGTGGCGGGATGGGTCATGAAAGGCGCTCCTGTGGCCTGGGAAAGGGAAGGGCAGGGAGACGGAGGTGTGAAGGAGTGAAGTCGTTGAGGAAGAGAGAGGTAGAGAGAGGTTCAGAACGTTTTACGTTTGGATGGAGGAATATAAGCAGCAAGAGGCAGCAGAACAGGCATGTACGCCACAAACTGATCGGGTAACCAGGTTAGGACTCACAACTTTTGAGACGTCTCAAAAGTCACCTACACCACAACATGATCGAGTATCCAGGTTAGTATGACTCACAATCGGATTCGACTGACACCAGCACCTGACCATTGATCTGGCCTCACACCTGCACCTGCACCTGGCCTCTCACCTGCACCTGCGCCTGGCCTCTCACCTGCGGCTCGGACACGCAGCAGGAGCGGCTGTTCAAGACGGACGGAGGAGACGGAGAGCACGGTTACGACCAGCGCTACTACTTTAAACATCAATGGATTATAACGAAAATTCTCAATATACGCCTGCATGATACTACATGGCGATGAGCCTACTCCATGGAGCGACTCCCACCGCAGTCGCCGCCTTCTCTGCGGCCTCGTTGTTATCAAAAGGGGTTGCATCGATATCTCGCGAAACCGGCCTCGGAAATACTTTGCTTTCATCGAGAGTTTTCAAGTCAGGTGATTCGGCTCAGACGTTTCTGACGACGGCCTACAGGGAACTTTGCTGAAATTACGTCCAGCACAGTACTGGTATTAGCATGTTACGTTATCACGGCCGCCTTCTGCTCGACTAGAGTAAACGGCTATCGATACTATGATGAGAACGGCTACCAGCAGCAGGTGGCTTGAAACAGCGTGGCTGATAAGATAGACGAATGTCGTGGTGGAAGGAAGAAGTATGCTTCGCCGTGACTTTTGAGTCGACTCAAAAGTCAGCTGGCGTGAAACCGCGTGGTTGATAAGATCGTTGAACGTCGTGGTGGAAGGAAGAAGTATGCTTCGCCGTACCGTCGCATTCCCTTGTGGCCTAGATTTCGCGCCTAAATTCCGCAACTAACGATTTTAGAAATAGTATATTCTCAACAGTACTCCAGCGAAAACCGCTCAGCTTTCTTGACCCATGCTGGTGAGACGGTGAGCGCGGTGATCGACACACACACACACACGAAGACTACCGTTGGAGCTTGCACGTGAAACATGCGGCACTGGAGGCTCGCGCTGATTCAGGCTGCAAGAACGAGGAGCGGGAAAACCGTTCATTCTTGCTCGGCTGTTGCCACAGAAGGAACCCTATGTGGAGAGAATGGGAGGGTAGGTTGGAAGGGAGCGTGGTTCGGTTTGGAGGGATCTAGGAACCTATCGGACAGTCACAGCCACTTCGTGAGATGCACTGCCCATGGCGGCGGACAGTCGGACAGGCGGAACCCTGGGAACCGTCCAGGTAACCCCGGGTTACCGAGACAGTGTTATGGGTTTCCTACGCGAGGGCAGACTAGGGCTGTGGATTGCAGTGCACGTAAAAGGGTGTTCAAAGTTACAGCACCAGCTCGACGTCGAAGTGTGTCGGTGAATCCTGACGGTTGGGACCGTAGATCCGAGGGTTGACATTCACCGACATCTCTCGACGTCGAGGGATGCAGTACTTTGAACACGCTTTAAGCGAACTTCGCTCTCGTCTGATTTTCTGCCACGTATATTGCAAAGCGAGGTGGTTCTCGCCTGGTTTTGTTCTCGTGAAACGGCTGCCCGCTATTGGCGACACCACAACTTTCGCCACAGCGAAGCGCGACGTGGTTTTGACATGACATGCCTTGTCGCATCCGTGCGAAAATATTTCAAGCCAAGTTGCCCAGCCCAGTTGCTGCACTCCTCGCGTTCCTCCCCAACGAAAGCGCCTGGCGTGCTCATATCGAATCGTTCCAGCAAACCAACAAGCGTGCCCAAAGGAATTCCATCCCACCGAATCCTGCCCCAGCTGGAGGGGACCACGGCAAACCGACCACCACCACATGAATGGGTGGGTGGCGGCGAAAGCATTCGCCGCGGTGCGCTAGTTGATCTCTGCCGAATTATCGCCCAGAGAGAGTAGCTTCGTTTTCAGTATAATAAACTATATTTTGTGGTATCCACCTACAGCAAGTATTGAGGTGGCATATAGAGAACTATTATTATAGAAGTGATAGGTGCGGCGCAATTTGTTGCTTGACAGCTATAACATCCTTCGGCTTTAATGAAAGACAATCTATAGCCGCGTAGTAATCTGGTGCCTATGGAAGCCGTGGGAACTTGGAGAAATCTGGTGCACGCCCGCTCAAATACGACTCACGGCCTTCCACTGCTTCTGGGGTGTTGTAGAAAATCAGCGTTGCATTTCCAGCCAGCTCCTGGTCATGGAGAGAAAGGAAGTGTTGCTTAGTAGAACAGAGACATGTGGCACATGACATGTTACTGTACTTGCATGGGATGGACATCGCACGTACACTACACGGCACGCACATGACACACTACCAACATACAGTGCACGCGAGCATGCTACACATGTTTTACTCCAGCTGCAAGCCAACAGTGGTGTGAGAGAGACGCTGCACATTGTGGCGCATGGCATAATGCCTATAGTCTCTGTTAATTGCCAACTTGAGAGCACCCACAGGGCCGTGTGGTCAGTAACCATGGCACCATGGCGCACAACACATCATGCACCATGGCACACAACACATCATGCACCATGGCACACAACACATCATGCACCATGGCGCACAACACATCATGCACCATGGCACACAACACATCATGCACCATGGCACACAATACATCATGCACCATGGCGCACAACACATCATGCACCATGGCACAACACACATCATGCACCATGGCACACAACACATCATGCACCATGGCACATAACACATCATGCACCATGGCACACAACACATCATGCACCATGGGACACAACACATCATGCACCATGGCACACAACACATCATGCACCATGGCACACAACACATCATGCACCATGGCACACAACACATCATGCACCATGGCACACAACACATCATGCACCATGGCACACAACACATCACGCACCATGGCACACAACACATCATGCACCATGGCACACAACACATCACGCACCATGGCACACAACACATCATGCACCAAGCCAGCAGTGCCATCGTCCACTGCATTGATGGCCGACTTGAGCACCCTCAGGGCTGTGGGGCTGTTCCTTCATCCCATGGACACAGCACACGATGACTGCAAGCTAGCACATGACACACCACCCACACACCCCCCACACACCACCCACACACCACCCACACACCACCCACACACCCCCCACACACCACCCACACACCCCCCACACACCACCCACACACCACCCACAGCCCACCTGCAAGCCAGCAGCGCCGTCATCCACTGCATTGATTGCCGACTTGAGCACCCTCAGGGCTGTGGGGCTGTTCCTCAGGATCTCCCGGCACCACTTCACCGTCTCCTGCTCCAAGTTCGCCAGCTGATGATGAACGGGTGGGAGAGGACAGAGAAGAGAAAGGACAAAAGTGAGCACTACCAGGGCTGTGAGGCTGTTCTGTTCCTAAGGATCTCCCAGCACCACTTCACTGTCTGTGCTTTCAAATTCCTAATTCACTGTCTGTGGGAGAGGAGGACAGAAATTAGAAGGACAGGGAAATGAACAAAAATGTGCGCAATTAGCCTCCTGGGTGTCTGTTCCGCTGGACCTCCCAAGACCGCTTCATTGTCTCCTGCTTCATTAAACATGAGGGAGAGAAGTTACACGGAGGACATGGTTGAAACAGGGAAATCTAGTTTTGAGGCGCCTCAAAACTAGACTTCATTGAACATGAGGGAGAGAGGTTGCAAGGAGGACATGGTTGAAACAGGGAAAAACTCAAATGGATGAACAGCAACAGCACTCACATTAAATGGAGTATTGACACGGCACAAAGCAGTCACAGGACCAAAAGTAATGACACGGCAAAAAGCACTCACGGGAACAACAGTGTTGATGAGTCCCATATCGAGAGCCTGGGCAGCTGTGTAGTGCCTGGCCAGGAACCAGATCTCCCTCGCCTTCTTGGGGCCCACGAGGCGAGACATGATAGAGCTGCCATACCCTGCATCGAAGCTTCCCACCTAGGGAGCCGAGGAGAACAGACTAGGCAAACAACACTGTGTACATGGAAGTTCAGGTAAATAGTGCACGTGGAAGGGCGAGATGCAAATGGTGCAGGAAACGGATATCGGAGACGGGGGGCATAGGTGGGGGTCAGGTCAGACAATCAAGCACAGTGCAAGCAAGCCATAAGGTGAGACATGCTGGGGCGGCCATGCCTGCAGAGGTACTTTAGCTTCGCCTCAGCCTCACCTTGGGGCCTGTCTGTCTCACCTTGGGGCCTGTCTGTCTCACCTTGGGGCCTGTCTGTCTCACCTTGGGGCCTGTCTGTCTCACCTTGGGGCCTGTCTGTCTCACCTTGGGGCCTGTCTGTCTCACCTTGGGGCCTGTCTGTCTCACCTTGGGGCCTGTCTGTCTCACCTTGGGGCCTGTCTGTCTCACCTTGGGGCCTGTCTGTCTCACCTTGGGGCCTGTCTGTCTCACCTTGGGGCCTGTCTGTCTCACCTTGGGGCCTGCCTGTCTCACCTTGGGGCCTGTCTGTCTCACCTTGGGGCCTGTCTGTCTCACCTTGGGGCCTGTCTGTCTCACCTTGGGGCCTGTCTGTCTCACCTTGGGGCCTGTCTGTCTCACCTTGGGGCCTGTCTGTCTCA